CCAGACCCTGGCCACTCGAACTGTGAAGAAGTTCTTCCTAATGTCCAGTCTAAATTTGTTTTGCTAACATTAGTGGGACCATCTGCAAAAGTCTTAAAGGTTTGAATCCCTTGCAAATGGAGTAGGAAACACTTTACGGATCTAAAGGAGTGCATATCATAGAATCATAGAAAATGAAGACTAGAAAAGACCTCAGGAGGTCTTCGAGTCCAACCCCCTGCTCAAAGTAGGACCATCCCCAACTATATCATCCCAACCAAGACTTTGTCTACCTGAGTCTTAAAAACCTCCAAGGATGGAGATTCCACAACCTCTGGGTAACCCATCCCAGTGCTTTACTGCCCTCCTGGTGAGAACGTTTTTTTCCTACTTATCTAACCTAAGCTTCCCTTGCTACAATTTGAAATGCTACAAGTGAAATGGTGTGAAGGATTACTTCGGCCAGATATCAGGGAATATTCCCTAATAAAAAAAGAGTTTGTGAAAGAAGGAAATCATTTCCCCAAGGGAAAAGGTTGGAAATACTATCACACAGGACACCTAAACTTAGGAAGGGGCAAAGACTGGGAAAGAAAACTGCAAATATTCTGCACTGAATCAAGAGCAAATCACTTACTTTACCCAGCATGGTAGAGCTAAGAGAAGGAAATCCTGACAACTTTTTGGACTTGAGTTGCCTCTAATTAATTTAAGACACTACAGTAAATCTGGATGCTAGAGAGGGCAAGCCCTATGTCCCAGTCCTGACAAAGGGAACCAGTTTTCACCAAATTGAGATAACTTTGGAACCACCATTTCCTAGACAAGAAAGAGCCCATGTGTCATCCCACACCCCTTTAACCTCCAAATTGAGGTTACAGAAAGAAAGACCCATCTTCCATGCCCCACTCCACCCACAACAGCCAACCCACCTATATTAGGACCATGCCCCAGAGGCAGCTGTGACACTCCCTAGAGGCTGCCCAACTTCTGCCTCCCTACTCCAGCTCCTTTTTCTCACCCCCCAAGTCTTGACAGAACTATTATGAAATTAAGGAAGATACCCAAGAGTCCCCAAATGAGCCAGCTGGTACCTCTTGTATCTGGCTGGCCCCAGTCTTGCACCCCTGAGCACTACATTATGGCCCTCTGACCCTATCAGTGCCTAGGGTGGCCATCATAAAGGACAGTCCGGTTGTCTTCAGTCCTGTATTGATACAAAACCAGATGCTTTTATGTCCTCTGTTTTTCTCTTGAAAAGAAAAATAGAGGACATAAAGGCATTGGGTTTCATATCAATAGAGGACAGAGTAGCAGAAAACTGGAATGTCCTCTATGATGGCCACCCTATCAGTGCCTCAGCGCACCAACTGCCTTATCAACTATATTCATGGCCTCCTTCCTCCCCTGTAGCCACTCCTATGCCTCACAGATGTTACTTGATGTTCGTTTGGAAGGACCCCCTATCCCCAACCCAACTTTTGGCCTTCGGGCCCCAGACTTTTGTCGAAGACTCAGCCTTCCCAGCCTTGCCCCGTTTATTCTGGATGCACCTTTCAGTCCAGGTCTAGTGCCCTGGGCCCCTACCTTGTGCACTCTGGGCCCTGGGCCCCTGCCAACTCTCACACTCTGGGCCACCCATCAGCCCTTTGAGTCCCCAAACCCAAGCTGCACTGCTCTCCCTCTGGTCTTGGCCCTCTCAGCCTTGGCCGACTCATTCAGCCCTTAGCTCTCTGGGTCCCTAACCACAGGCCAGGCTGCTTTCATTACCTGTGGCCTCACCCTCTCAGCCTTGACTTAACTCACTCAGCCTTTAGGCCTCTGGGTCCCTGACCCCAAGATAGGCTCCTTATTATTGGCCAGCCAGTCCATGAAGCAAATGTATCTGACTATAACATTGGCTATGTTTCTCTGTAGGAAGAGATGCCACTATCTCCCCATTTTGGCTCCCCCATGTGTTCCCCACCACAGACAGAAAAATTATTTTTGGCCCGTCAGATCTGCGGGGTGGGGCTTGTCACAAATAATAAGCAATCCCAATAAAACTCAGAGTCCCCCACCACTGCATCCCCCAGTTGGGAGAAGAACTACACTAGAGTCCAGCATGCTGCAACAAGGACTGTCCAACAAGGGGCCCTGATGTGATGGCCTGACTTTACAGAGGGCCCTTGGCCCTGGATCTCCTTTGCCACAAGCAGAGGTTGGATCACTTTATTTGATGGACGCTGAAGTCATTCCAGGTGATGCCAAGTGCAGTCCTGGGCTCATATAAGGGGGTCTGCGATTGAGAGATACTCACCCTGGATCAGAGTGACAGGCGAGTAGGTCTAGCACCTCACCCTCCTGTCAGGGCTTCTCAATCAGGCACAGGATTAATCACCTACTTCTCAGGTGACAGTAATAGTGAAGGTGACATGTAGCAAGGAAGCAAACCATGTGACAGATTTTCAGCTGACAAAAACTGGATGGGTAAAATCAATTCTGCCTGTTTCCAGTATCCCTCCCTTGCAGAAACGTCAACTGCCTCATTTGGAAATGAAGAGTCACAGGGTGCTGTTTCGCACGCTGCCATTCAAAACAGCTACAGAGACTCTAGAATCTAGATACTTGTTCAATAAGAAAGGTACGAGGACAGAGAGATCCCCTACATCACAGGCCAGGTGCTGCCACAGCTGGCTCAGCATCGCCAAGGTGTCAGAGACATTAGTGGAGACACATGGCAGCAGAAGGGCTTATTTTGCTGTTTGTGGCATCACATCCCTTCAGCAAGAGGTGCTCTGGCATCAGGGGTCCCCGTCCCTCAGCAGAGCTGTACCCAGAGACATCCAGCTCACAGGACTGGTCTGGTGTAGACTAAGCCTTGCACACACACCTTCATGGGCTCCTAGGCGAGTGGTTTTCAACCTTTTTTTCATTTGCAGATGCCTAAAATATTTTGAACGGACGTGTGAACCACTTTGACCTGTACATGTGTGTATTCACATGTGGTTGATTGATCAGTCATTTTTTGTGTACCCCTTAGACCAGGCTCGTCCAACATACGGCCCACGGGTCACCATGCAGCCCGCCAAGCCATTTTATCTGGCCCGGCCGGGGCGGGGGGGGCGCCCCCCCCCCCCCGGCGGTGCCGTGGAGCAGAGCCACGGTGGTGGAGCGCGGAGCTGCGGCGGCAGCGAAGCACAGAGCCATGGCGGCGGGGCAGCAGCGAGGTGGGCAGGGCAGGGCAGGGCCGGTCTGCAGGCCCCAGCTGGTAGCGAGGGGAGGGGAGCTGCTTACCCCCGCAGGGCCCAGCTCATCAGTGAGCCGGGTCCTGCCGCAGCTGGCCCAGCCGTGCCTGATTGGATGAGCTGGGGATGGGCTCCGCCCCTTGCCCCCGGCATGTGGCCTGGGGAGCTACAGCATGGCCCGCACCCTGCCCGCATGCATGGCGGAAGGAGGCACGAGGTAAGTTCCTGCATGGAACTGGGGGCGCCTCGGGGCGGACGGAGGCACAGGGTAAGTTCCCATGCGGAGCACACCCATTTCATTATTTTCTGCAACTTCATTGGTGTCAAAGGTCACGTGACATCACTTCCTGATGTGATGTCACTTCCTGTGAGGTCTTTGAATATGGCTCACTGGCCCACTGGGTGATAAAACGTTCATGATCCGGCCCCACATTCAAAAAGGTTGGACACCCCTACCTTAGACACAGTCTGCCGCCCCCAAGGCATTTGCAGACCACAGGTTGAAAACCACTACCCTAGACCCAGACCATGGCGGCTGACAGCTGGTCACCATGTGCCATCGTGCAGGGCTGCCAACTGTGTTTGAATCAATTCAGGTTTCTGGAACACCAGTGTGCCTGCGACACACAATGCAAACATGCCTGTGCGTTTGCGTTGATCAGTTATGGATTACAGCGCATAGACTTTACGCCAGAAATATCAGCGATGCGTCGGGCGTGCACACAGGTGCACGTGCATCCCCTGAGCGTGGCAGTGCACCCCCTGTGAAAAGCCTGCTGGCGGTCGCTGCTCGCCATCCCCCCACCCTCGCCACTGACATCCAGCGGCATCTATGGGCGGTCTGCAATCGCTGCTGGCTGCTGCCGATGGTGTCTGCGGGTGGTTGCTGAACACTGGTCGGCGTCTCCCGCTCCCTGCTGCTGACAACGCCGCGGCTGCCTGCGGGAGCCGCACACCTGCCTCTGCCACACTCCTGCCGCCAACAGCGCCGCCGCTACCACCTGCAGGAGCTTGCCGTGCCCCCCAGCCTCTGCAGGGCACGTCGTTCATGGTCAGGAAGGCAAATGCACTTTCCTCTTACATTTTAAAAACCCACTGAACTACTGCAAATATCAGATTCAACATTTATTATTTATTCCTTTCTCTTGGCTCTATCGTGCAAGGTCAACTCTTGATTCAGTGCAGCATATTTGCTTCTAAGGTTTTCTTTCCCCGTCTTTGCCCCTTCCTAAATTTAAGTGCCCCACGTGATAGTATTTCCAGCCTTCTCCCTTGGGGAAATGACTTCACAAACTGCCCCATAGCATTTATCTCCTCGGGGGCTCTCAGCCGGCTCCTGGACCTGTGGTTCTCAACCTTCGTTGTACCCGACCCACTGCCCCAGGCCCCAGCCCCCAGTGTGTGGGGTGGGGGCGGTGGCAGAGGCATGGGAGGCCCCAAGCAGCCCCTGGGAGGCTGAAACTCTGCCAGCCTGCATACATAAAATAATAGATATAATAAATAAATATAATATAATAGTAGATATTATAAATAGATATAATAATAGATTCTTGCGACCCACTTGGAGGCCATGCCCCACGGGGTGAGGAGCGCTGTCCTGGAGACTAATGAGCTAATTAATTAACTAGCTAATCCCTGGAGACTCCAGCGCAAACCGAGAGGGTGAGCAGCGCACCGCGGAGTGAGATGGGCCGGAACTGGAGGGGCGGGGAAAGTGGAGGAGGACACTAGGGCTGGACCGGAAAGGAAAGGAAAGCTGCTGCTCCGGATGTAGACGCTCTGTCGCGCGCGCTTCCTTTGCAGCTCTAGTGCTCTGGCGGACCGGGAGTTGCCCGGTCCGAGCGCGGCGGCGGGGGCGCGCGTGCGCCATGGAGCTGGCGCCGTCCGCCTTCCGCGCGGGCCCGGACTTCTGCCCGGAGTGCGGCACGGTGCTGCCCCTGCCCGGCGTGCAGGACCGCGTCACCTGCGTGTGCTGCGACTTCGCCATCGCCGTGCGAGGTGGGCCGGGCCCGGCCCTGGGCTGCTCGGCCCCTTCCCCCAACCTGTGTCCTGTCCCCCCTCCCGCCCCACCGTTGTTTAATGACCTTCCCCCCCTGCAGACTTTGAAGGCCGCCTGGTGCAGTCATCCGTGGAGTTTCACAGGCCCAGGGCCGCGGCTGTGCCGGGGGGGGGCGATGGGCAGGAGGTGAAGGGCCCCGTGGTGAGTGGGGGTCTCTGCGGAGGGCGGGCGGTGCGGCAGCGTCCTGCGGCGGGGAGTCCCGCAGGTTATCGCCCCGCGCGGAGGGGCCTCCGACGAGCCGGTGACATCCGCCCCGTAACCCTGGGAGCCTGCCTCGGCCTCGGCGACCCTTTCAAATTGACGGCACCAGGAGGGGTGCGGGTTGAGACCTACCACGTCACTTATTGGCCTCCCTCAGGCGGGAAATCTCAGCAATTAAGTGCCAGAAGGGACCTCAAAAGAGCGAGTCTTACCCGCCCCGGCGCCCCAGGCCCGTCGTGGTTCCCGTGGCCCCTCTCTGCGCCCGGTCACGATTCTCCGCGTCCTGTTTGACGCGCGGTGCCCAGAACTGGGCCCAGGGCTCCAGCTGGGGGCTCGCCAGCACCGAGTAGAGAGGAAATACCACTTCTTCTCTAGTCGGGAAAGCTGAACATTGATTCCTTGGGATTTCAGATCGACCGGAAGTGCCCCCAGTGTGGCCACGAGGGCATGGTGTATCACACCCGGCAAATGAGGTCGGCAGACGAAGGGCAGACTGTGTTTTACACCTGTGCTGAGTGCAAGTAAGGAGCCATTCGTGGGTGTCTTTTATGGGAGGTGGGGGAAGGGAAGAGGAAAGGAAAGTTGCAGTCCGTGGAGTAGCAGCTTTGTCCTGGAGCAGCCTGGATTTTAGTTGTTTCATCAGTCAAAGCTGAGATTCAGATTTTCACCAGAAACCGTGGGCATTTCTACACACGTTGTGGGATGCAACGCTGGGTGCTTTAATTAGCAAGCCACGCTAATTAAAAGTGTCCGTGCATTGCATGTATCAACATCACCGTGCATCGCTGCTCTGAAAAAATGGCAGGGCGCTTTGAACGACAGCTTATCAAACGTGCTTTTATTCAGACCACTCAGCCACCATTTTTTCCGCATGGAGACGCATAGCGATGCTGATGCATGTGGCACGGGAGGCTGCTGGAGCACGTCGATTTTTGTGTTCCAGCAGACTCAGTGAATTAAGTCTGCTCCGACACGCTGGCTTTCCAGCGCATTGGAGCGGGCTCCACATGCCTGTATAGGAGCCCTGTGACATTTCAGTGAAAGAATTTCGAGACCAAATTTAATAATATCTTCTCATTGTGTAAAATTTATTCTCCCTTTGAATGTTTTTTGGTGACCAGTGAACATCACTGGTCACCTAGAACTTGCGTTCTCAACCTTTTTTGTACCAGGACCCATTTTTAAACATTGATGCCCAGTCCCCCAGTGTGTGGGGCACGGAGTGGGTGGGTGTGGGGCACCGGGGGCCCCAGGCAGCCCCTTGCAGGCTGGAACTCTGCCAGCCTGCAAGGGAAAAGCCATAGTTCCCCACATTTTGCTCCTTCAAAGGAGAATCCATTTTAAAAGTTTGTTCACAACCCTTTCATATATTCATGTGACCCACGGGTTGAGAAACGCTGACCTAGAAGACAGCATTTCCTACCCTTTTGGAAGTTGAATTTGGCATGAGGCAAATGGCCCAAAGCAAGCCCACAGTGGAGACACCTTAATTTAGCCTTCTGCTCCCCTCCTCCCGATTCCAGCCAGTGGTTTGCATTCCCTGCTGTTCCCCACTGGGATATAGTGGGTTCATGGCACAGTCCTCCTCCTCCTCTTTCTTCCATGCTTTGGGAATGGTGGACATAATTACCATAGAATGATCTGTCATTGGCATCTGAGATTGAACCCACCAAGACGAAGGGAGGCAGTTCGTATCTGAATGCGACATCTGAGCTGATTGGCACAGCGTCTCTACAGACTGGCGGAATCACTGCTCCCTATGTACTTTCTCAGCTACAGTGAATAATCAAGAGACCAGTTTGCCACCCCACCTGCAGATTCTTTAAGCCTCTGTGGGGAGATTTGCACCAGCCCTAAAAATTTTGCCTTCAGAGCAACCAAGGACCAACCTATCAAGGACAAGATGGGCCTCAAAGGCTGCGTCCATGCATGATGTGGACGTTTGTCTCCCCAGGGACAACTAGCAGGGGCACAACTAGCAGCAGCATGCCTTGCACCACTGCTAGTTGTCCCCAGGGAATGCCCGTGATGTGTTGCAAGTTACCCAGGGGTAGTAGGGGAGGCTGGGGCCTGCATTGGGCTGTCCCCAGCAGTCTTTCCTGGGGGCCTCCCAGGACTGCAGGAACAGTGATTCTGGCCGGCAGCTACAGTGTGGCTCTGGGCAGCCCAGCTCCACTTTTAAGCGATGTGCGCTACCCCTGCGTGCACTGCTCCACTTTTTTTCTCCACAGATTTTTTTGACTCATGGTCAAAAAAACCCTCCACACTGCTCCCTTGCAGTGCAGAGAACAATTAAACGTGCAGTATGTGGCATGCAGATGTCTGCGGTGCCACCTACCACACAGCCGCTTTCATCTGGGCATAGCCAAAGGGTTTATCTGCTCAGCACAGGACAGTGCTGCACTGAGGGGCAGAACTTACTGATGCACTTACAAGTGCCACCCTAATAGTCTGTTTCTGCACCATGGAGAAAATGCACCACGTAGACAAGACCTCACATATTTTATCTATCAATAAATTGAAGCTAACAAAGGGGGTTCGATCTGGAATCTCCATTCTTGTGCTGGAGATGAAAATAGTTTGCCAACCACGCATGATGCAGACATTTTACTTCATGCTCAAGACACAGCTAGCTTCCTTGTTCTTTCCACACCCAAAATGACTGCCTCCACCCCCTGGGTCCCCTGGCCCCATGCTACAAAATTGGCCATGTGCCTTTCCAGTGGCCCCACCACAAAGAGCAATTATACCACCTTCCATCCTTGAAGGGGCAGAGTGCAGAGCCGTGCCTGTGCTCTGTCCTTTGCTGCCACCTGTCGGTTTAGATCCAGAAATTTAAATAAAAGGAAAAAAAAGGCTTCTGCGCAGGATTGAGACTGGGGGTTGTGTCTTTCTCTGCAGGTTCCAGGAGAAGGAAGATTCTTGATTGGAGCAACATGGGGACCAAAGAGCAGAGGAGGCTGGGTGTAATGCCCCCTTCATACCAAAAGTGCTTGCTTTTGCCAGAGTGAGATTCTTTCCTTGGCCCAAGACATTACCCAGCCCTGACAGTATTGATTCTGCCTGCAGTTTGATGGCATAGAATGCATTTGAAGTCCAGAGGAGCGGAGCTGGGGGATCAACCTCAGAGCGACCCCTGATTCCTAGTCTTTGGGAATTCCAAATCCAAATTCCTGTTTCAAAGGACTGTTGAGGTGATTTCCAGAGTTATATACCCCTTACACAGGCACAGTCCCCTTTCTGGCTAGTACCACAGAAGCTGTATTCTGTAAGGAAATCCTGTTCCTATTGAGTGCACTGCATTTTTTTAATTTGGAGGAGCCTGGAAAAGGGACTGCCTGAACTTTTTGGGTGGACTGCCTGTCTTCCTGGACAAACCTGGCATAACTCCTTATGGATCGTTTATAATAAAATAAATTATATTACCTTGCTGTCTATAAATCCCTTGCTGTGAGGCAAAAGCTGCAATTGTGCAGCTTTTCTGCCTTGGTTTGGAGTGGATACATGCTTTGCATTATTATAACCTCTTTAATTGCAACCTTATTAATTGACTGGACTCTCCCTTTTTTTCCCCATTCCCATGCCCCACCCCCCTTTCAGATCCTGTCTAGGATTTGACAAACCCATCTCGGTTTGTCATCCAGAAAACCCCCATCATACTTGGGTGAAATGCTGGTGGGTGTCTTGTGATGTGATCTGTATCACAATCTGCTGCTCACGGTGCAGTGTTTATCATCCACAGAAAAGAAACAAGTTGCTCTAGTCCTAGGTTGACTCTCCTGAGCTCTGCTCAGTATTTCTTCTCCTGGGGGTGTGGGGGCAGGAGCACCTCTGCACCCCCCATCCAGTGTTCAGCTAGCTATTTTCCCCAGCTTGTCTTGCCTGCTCAGATGTAGCCCAGAGCTCTGAGCACTGAGAGTGCCCTCCACATCCCTCATGGGCACATGCAATCCCCCACCTTGTAAATGGTGACCCTCTTTCCTGTTCTCAGTACTGCTCTGGCATGGGAAGGGGGAGAGAGGTAGACTCCAGGCTCTGGCAGCCCAAGTTGGGCAAGAGCACTCGCCCTATTTGAATCAAGCCAGGCAAAATGAAGGCAACAAAAAAACTACACTTTTAGCATTATGTTTTACCCATATTTGCAATCGAAAGCTTGTCCACACCATTGGTTTGCTGGGGCTACCAGGCACTGGTGCCAAAGGGTAGGACAGGCAGCTAGAGACACTCTCCTACTGAGCAGGCAGAAAGTTGTGACATTAGAAGTGATGGCATTGATTTAGAAGCAGTTTGTCACCTAGAAAATCCCCATCATAATTGGGTGAAATGCTGCTGCCTCTCTTGTGATGTAATATGTATCGCAGTGCACTGCTCACTGTACAGTGTGTATCATGATGTGCGTCCACAGGAAAGAAACTAGTTGCTCTAGTCCCAAGCCAACTCCCTCCTGAGCTCTGCTTGGTGTTTCTTCCCGGGGGAGCACCTCTGCACCCACTCTCCTTCCCGTGTTCAGCTGGCTATTTCCCCAGCTTGCCTGGCCTGCTCAGATGCACCCCAGAGCTGAGCACCAAGGGTGCCCTCCGCATCCCTCATGGGCACATGCAATCCCCAATCTTGTAGATGGGGACCCTGCTTCCTGCTCTCACCGCCTCTCGGGGACAGGAACGTAGCAGGAAGCGGAGACTTCGGGCTCGGGCAGGCTGAGCCGGCTGAGAACATTTGCTCTGTTTGAACCAAGCCAGGCAAAATGAAGCCAGCAAAGAAACTACACTTTTAGCATCGTGTTTTACCCCTATTTGCAATCCAAGCCTTGCCCACACACCATTGCCTTGCTGGGGCTACCAGGCACTGGTGCCAGAGGGTAGGACAGGCAGCTAGAGACACTTCTACTGGGCAGGAGGAAGTTGTGCTATTGGAAATTATGGTGTTTTACTTGTACTAAGTCATCACAAGTGTGGGAGGGGACGTGGGAACAGAGAGGGGCGCTGAGGAGGCTTCAGCACTCCCAAGCCCCCACTTTCCCATCAGGCCTAGCGCTGGGGCCCGGACCAGGCCCACTGACTGCACTGCAAGCAGCCCATTGCAGTCACGTGACCCAGGGCAGGTGCGGCCCACGCATGCGCAGTGTGCCCCGTACGGCGGAAGCGACCACCGCGGGGGACTCCATTCGGTGCCGACCCGTGGCCAGAAGCAGGAAGTAGCGTTGTCGGAAGCGAAGCGGGGTGCGGGAAAGCTGCCGCACCGGGCGCGGGCGAGCGGCAGCTGGAGGAGGCGGCGGGGGGGGGCGGGC